AAGCTCCATTAAATGGCTTCTTTCCTTTTAAATACACAAGCATGCCTCACTTTGCACGGTCCCAAAATGCGTGGATCCAGTCATCAGTTTAGTGAAATTAGGCCAGTAACCCAGCAACGTGGTTCAAATGTCAGTTACCACAACAGTTTATCCACAAAACACTAGCCGATAGACGTCCAGATCCGGACAGTCACATCCTTTCACTCAAAGTCTGTCAGTGCATCTGTTAGTCCACACACAGGCCGTGTGTAGCCAGGCTGCCTCCCTGTCCCAGTGATAGACCCAAGTGGCATTTTTTCAAAAATGGACAATGAAAGGGGACTGGCCAGACAGCAAGCCAATGAAAAGTGGTAATGCTGGAAGTGGCAATCGAGTCAACCCAAAACACTGTCACAGGAGAAACAGCTGACCTGGGAATGCCGGCCCTGCTGCCACTAGACGGGGCGGGCAGCCACGGAACCAAGGAAAGGGACTTGTCAACAAATTGAGGAAAATGATGGCGCTGCCCCAGAGTGTGACACCAGCAAAAACTTCACATTCTGTGAACTCGAAGACATTTCACATCGAAAGTGCCCAAGACCAGGTGTTAGAAGCTGATCCAAACGTAGCCAGGAGCATGACAATTCACCGCCCTGAATTATAGGGGAGGCGGGCATTGTTCAAACTACTCTTGAAACACTTTCTCAATTATATTGCACTAAATATTAGTTTTCGCTGAAACCGGTTTGGCTCCGTGGATAGAGCGTCGGCCTGCAGACTGAAAGGTCCCAGGTTCGATTCCGGTCAAGGGCATGTACCTGGGTTGCGGGCACATCCCCAGTAGGAGATGTGCAGGAGGCAGCTGATCGATGTTTCTAACTCTCTATCTCTCTCCCTTCCTCTCTGTAAAAAATCAATAAAAAATATATTTTAAAAAATAAATAAATATTAATTTTACAGGTGTTTGTTGTTTTTTTTCATTTCCATAAGAGTTTTCAATGCTTTGATACACATTCTTAAAGTCATGGAATAATCCTAACTTCCCCCCTGGATTATTAAGACCCCTCTGCCTGGTTTTATTTTATAAAATATTCTGTAAGACAGGAGACATCCTTACCATAAACACAAATACTTGGTCTCTAAAAGCTACCTTAACCGGGAGTAAGAAATCCCTTCCATCTGAGGTCATTTAATAACCACATTGCCATTTTCAAAGTCTCAGAAAAGTACCCCATCTACCTGTTTATCATTCAAACTAGTAAGATTCAGTTTTACTTGAAAATTAATAAGCCTTGAGTAGGAGATAAATCAACTAAACAGTTACTATAAGAGGTTCCCAAATTAGTGGGCACCAGAATCACTTCGAGGGCCTGTTAAAGCACAGATGGCTGCCCCTCACCCCAACTCCCACCCCCACCCCTGAATGAGGCGTGTGGGAGGGCCTGAGGATTCTGTCACGTTCCAGTGACCTAATGCTGCTGGTCTGGAGACAGACAAGCACTGCTCTCTGCAGTGCTGCTCAGACACTGTGTGTGTAAACCACTCGGTCTTCGTAAGGAGATTCTGACTCAGCAGATCTGGGTGGAGCCTAAGACCCTGTGTTCCTAATAAGCCCCAGATAATGCTGCTGCGGCAGGTCTGAGGATCACGCTTTGAGTAGCCAAGTGCTCTAGGATCTGTGAGCATATGTTTGCATCAAGCTCTTAACTCTCAGCAAGTTTCTCAAGGAACAGAATAGATGAGTCCTGTTGCCAGAATGGATGAGTCATACTTGCAGATGAGGGGCTGGCATGCTACAGGTCAGGTGGGAGGAAGGGAATGGGCTGCCCGGGGCAATGCCACGCACAGGACGGAGCGCCAGAATCGCACGTGAATGCTGAAGATCTCGGGCTGGCTCAGGCGGTCTCCGGCACCCCTGCTCACCCGCTGAGAATGACTGCTGTAATTTTACCCTCTGCTGTGTCCGTTTTTACTGGCAGGCATGTTATAATCATTTATGAAAGGTTACACACCAGAGCTGGAAAGGAAAACTAATACCTTTTGGCTTAGCGAGATGAAGCCTGTAATTACAATTTTTAGAGCAGGCAGCTGGCAGGGGTCATCGTGTGCACTTAGACTGGGCAAATAACAGTGCGACTGGGAACTCTTGAGAATGGGTTCAAATACTGTTTCCATAAACCTTACTGTAAGCTCTATTGTTCTTCATGAAATAGGACTCAATTTAAACGAATTCTAAGCTCCATATTTTCCCCAGCTTTAAAAAAACCTGTACGTACGCTTCCGGGATTCTGGAAAAGGTCGCTCTGCAGCAGCTGCATAGCCGACGGCCTCTGGGACGCGTTCTTTCTGGTCAGCTCCTGGACGCACCTGGCTTGGACGGGACACCTCTGGCTGAGGGACGCGGGCATCTGACCAGTTCTCAGACCCGTCAGAACCTGCGCTCGCTCCATTTCTGTCCCAAACGGCTGGAAGAGCTCCAGCAGGATCACGCCCACGCTGTACATGTCCGACTGCGAAAGGGGAGGGGTCAGTGAGCGATGAGATGCTCAGTGAGCAGCACCGTGCCCCGCAGCACGCCGCCTCTCCACGAGAGCATTTGTAGAAAAGATGATTTATAGTCTCTACCGTACGGCTGGCTCATCTCTCACTGGCCATTACCTGCCAGCCAGATCTACTGCGAGGTAGATACTGTCACAAAGCCCCTCCCTTTAACACCAAAAAGGGGCTCAGGGGACAAAGGACTGGTGGCCAGGTGAGGACAGGATGATCCCACCACCACAGAGTCTGTACCACACACCTGACTCCATCCACCCCCTTGAAAACCCAGGCCCGGCCAGCCGGACACATGTGAGCTCCCTCGTGCTGGGGCCGCGTGTCCCAGGGCCTCCGCCAACCTCACCCGGCTTCACTCAGGCAGGAAGTCTTGGCAAAGCTTAGCACCCTGCAGAAACTGTGCTGCCGCTCCTGAAAATACGTTTGTCAGGAGGGCCTGGACTAGACAGGCTTTCGAAACGACCATGGTTCTTCTCTGGCAGCTCTTTCCCAATCATGCACCTGAGTTGCGGGTTCATTCCCCACCCTGGGGGGAGGGAGGGGCGCCAGTGCCAGAGGCAACTAACCACTGTGTCTCTCTCACACCAATGTTTTCTCTCTCCACCCCTCCCTTCTACTCGCTCTAAAAATCAATGGAAAAAATATCCTTGGGTGAGGATTAACAAAACAAAACAAAAACGTTCAATGATTCATTAAGAGGAAGAACCTTCATTAGGTTTCGTGTTGAGAAGGAGTTACTTACCATTCCTTCCGGGAACTATGTGGATTAAAGGGACACGCTGCCCCGAGCATGACTTAGCACTTACTTGAACTGGGAAACCAGAATGGAAGCTGAAAAGAGGCCTCTGAACTCTCGCCTTCTGGGGTGAATGTGACACTCTGAAGGGAAAGCCCATTCAAACACTATTCCTATGCCCATGGGTTTAGAAATAGTCAAGGAGCCTAAAAAAATGCAGTCAGGTTCAGCTGCAAAGTGAAGTTTCCTGTTGTGCCCGCTGGACGGTAGATAAACTATAGAACTGTTACTCCAAACACCTTGCCCTCGGGACTTCCACTGCTCTCCTGTGCTTTTTGTTATTACAACGCAGAGTAAGTCCAGCAGGAGGTAAGAAGCAGGAAACACTACCTGGGCATCATATTCAGATCCTTCCAGCTGTTCGGGTGATGCGTACAGGCAGGTGCCCACTCTGGAAGTATGTGTTGGTCCTGTAATTTGAAAAGCTACACATTAAATACTGCAGCGTTAGCACATGCAGGAACACTGACTCTGGGTACCACGGCACGCTGTCTTTCCCTCACTTTGCTATTAAATCTTCATATTCTCTTTAACTAGTGACATCTTGTTTTTTTAATGGAAAAAAATGCCAAAACTTACTCTTCCCATCCCTGCCGGTCCAGTTTGGGTTCTGTATGATGTCTGTGCAGGCCAGACCGAAGTCTCCTATTTTCACTTGCTGATCAGGGCCATGAAGAAAAATATTTCTGGGCTACAAACAAACAGAACAAGTGAATTCCTTGGCGTTCTAAAAACAAATAGTAAAAATGTCTGGATGTTAAAGAGTATTCAACCCAGGAGCAAGTAGCCCCTCAAAAATTAAAAATCAGAGCAGTGGTTCTCAAACTCAGCCACACATTAGAGTCACCGGGAAGCTTTAAAAAAAATCGCACCCGGCTGGTGTTGCTCAGCAGTTGAGCATCGATCGACCCAGGAACCAAGAGGTCATTGGTTCGATTCCTGGTCAGGGCACATGCCCAGGTTACAGGCTCAATCCCCAGTAGGGATATGCAGGAGGCAACCAATCGATGATGTTTCTCTCTCATCGATGTTTCTGTCTCTCTTCTTTCCTCTCTAAAAATCAATTAAAAATATTTTTAAAAATAAACATAAAACGACTGTCCTCTCCAACAAGTCCAACACTGCAGTTTTTCTTAATGAAAAAAAAATTATAAGAAAATGTTTTAAGCTCCCAGATAATTCTGTTAGCCAGGATCGGGGACAACTAAGTCACACTGTAAAGGTACACACTTAGCTCTATGTAAGCGACCACCACGGACCCGAAACATCCCCAGTGGAACTAATCCTATGCCAGTGAAACACTGCCCCTGTACTGGGGAAGGGGAGAAGGCCACTGACATCTAAACAGTTAGGTTAAAAGTTGGGTTTTCTTATTTTAAATGTAGTAATTCTAATTTTTTATTTTAATGTATAATTGTGTTTTAGCTCTGTTAGTTTTTTTTATCTATAGCTAAATGGAAAGAGAAAATAGAATCTTACATGTAAGATAATTAGGGTATGTTTTTGTGATCAAGTAGGAAGTCCTAAAACCTGTGCTTATATTTGACATCATGTGAGATAGGAACAAAGTATGAAAAAGTCTGGCTCTGATACAGAAATGAGTCGTGTTCATGGATACGGCTCTCAACAATTCTAGAACAGTTCTAGAACTGAACTGAGGAATCATAAAGACTCGGAAACTGACCAATTCCGCAACAAGTTTCCCTGACCTCTGAAGTCCTCAATCTTACGTGTTTCTCATGGGAAACATAGTCAAGAGAGGCAGCAAGGAGCTGGTCGCTGACGGGGCCAAGTCCCTGGAGGAGGGCCCACGTGAAGTGATCCACACCAGACTCTACGAAGCCATCATGACAGAAAACTGCGCTGCCATCCAGGCCCTGCTGCGCAGCCACCCCGTCAACCAGCCCCTGACGGTCCTGACCAACTCCACCAGCTGCGGGCTACTTCTGACGCAGGTACCCTGCTCTCCGCTCCGTCACTTTTAGAGAAAAGACTCCTGATGCTTTGAAAGGACCCCCACCAAGTTCTTGTGAACTCATTCAACCTCCTGGCTGTCCGTCCCCACAGGCCGCGCTGGACAGTGTGCCAGCACACTCCCCGCCGCGGCCCACACCGCCCTCCAGTTGCCACACTGATGAGGGAAAAGACTAGCGCTCGTTCGGTTGGCGGGACATTAGAGTCGCCTCTCAAACATGCCAGTGGTCACTGGGTCCGTGGGATGGAATTCTCTTTTCCCTTTTACATATAACTTTTCATTTTCTAAATGTTTATACAATAATTATTACCGTTATCATTTATTTCCTTTGGAAAGTGACCCTCTCCTTTACTCCGCCCTCTTACCTTGCAGCCATGCTGTAAAGCCACTACTTACATATATATTTTTAAGACCCAGCATAAACAGCTCTGCTAATCATGGAGTATTTGCTGCTTATCTATGAAACCCTGGAAGTGTAGGTTTTACTGCTGATACTATGGCAAAACCTTAAAAAACACAAAACCTACTTGTCAATCACCCTGCGGGTTAGTTTAAGGACAAAGTGGCTTAATAGCAATTGCCTTAATTTTACACTATGAGCTCCTCGCAACAACCAACTTTAAAAGCTTTGAGTGAGTTATTTTGTTGCCTTGGTAAATCTGCCTTCCTTTAACACACAAATTTTATAACATTCATAAAATTCACTGGCTTTGGGTCACGGAAAACGGGCCAAAGAAAAGGAAAATGTCAATGCACATAGCAGAGAAGTGCTGCACTGAGACACACAGACCACCGGCTTGCTCTGGGCTGGCCAGCTGACACCCTGTTCTAACCACACAGGACACCTGTAACGAACTTGGGTCTTTCCCGCTGAAGCAGAAGCAGTCCATCATCCCCCTCCACCTGGCTGCCGAGCACCGCAAGGCACAGAGTCTGCACTGCTTGTTAGAACACGGTGCTGACCCGGAAGTAAGGTAAGTAACTCAACAGGTGGCCATTTCTAAATGAGGAGACACGTGACCTAGACGTTAGCCTTCCCAGTCATGTCTGGGCTCATCCACTCTGCAGGAGTTGTGGCCTAGAAATTATCTTGTTTTGAACAAACCAGTTTCTTTGCCAATTAGAGGAAATACTCTGAAAAAGAGGGTGGGAAATGCAAGAACACAAATCAGCCCACTTAAAGCATCCCGAGTACTAAGCGCTCAGCAGTAGTGTTCCGAATAACCCTTCCCCCTTTCTCTGCCACAACAAAGGGCTTTTGGAGGCAATCCTGAGAGATTTCAGGAAAAAGTAGATGAGGGCCAGGTTGTAAAACATGCATCCACCCGGGTGGAAGCAGGGAATGAAGAGGATGGGCCTAAGTGCAGAGTGGCTGTGGGTCTCCAGGTTCAACCCTGTCATCTAATCCAGCGGTCGCCAACTGGTGGTCCGAGAACCACAGGTGGTCCGTGAGGTCCAAAAGGTTGGCGACCACTGATCTAATCCACCTAAACACACAGGGAGCATCAGGCACAGGGACAGATGCAGAGCCGATCACACTAAAGTCCACAGAACTCAGCTCTGCACTGAGGAGCTGCGGTACCAAAAACACTGAGACACAGCCCTGAAGAGGCCCCAACCCTTGCAGGAGGAACAAAGTAAACACAAGCTGCCAGAGGAAGCTGGGGCCCCCCGTGCACTGATGCATACCACTCCACCCCCAAAAACGCTGTGATATCCTGAAAAATTAAATAGCAATGCAGATTTACAAACACTTTTTTTAAACTAAGTAAGGGCGGGGATTACTTTACTTATTATTTTAAAAAATATATATTTTATTGATTTTTTACAGAGAGGAAGGGAGGGGGAGAGTTAGAAGCATCGATGAGAGAGAAACATGGATCAGCCGCCTCCTGCACACCCCCTACTGGGGATGTGCCTGCAACCAAGGTACATGCCCTTGACTGGAATCGAACCCGGGACCCTTCAGTCTGCAGGCCGATGCTCTATCCACTGAGCCAAACCAGTCAGGGCAGGGCGGGGATTACTTTAAATAAATGTCACCTTCTTGAGCGCTAATTCCCTGCGTAGAGCCATTTCCACTATGTATTCAGTGTAACCAGCGCTCACTACCTATTCCAGGGACGCACGAGGCCTCACCACACTTCACCTGATGCTACTGCACTGGCCAATCACCTCTACCGTCCAGACAAAGCCAGGGAACAGAATCCAAAAGCTCCTGGCGGACATTCAGAACAACGCCGTGACGTGTCTCCGCATCCTGTGTGAGCACGGAGCTCAAGTGAACGCTCGGGTGAACAACAGCCACAAGCACTCCCCCCTCCACCTGGCGATAAGATACGGGACCTACCCGGTCCTCTCCATTTTAGCCCAAAACGGCGCCCAGGTGAATGCCATTAATGAATCCAGCATGACTCCCCTGCACATGGCGGCAGACATACTGAACAAGGAGATGATGGAAACGCTCATTGCCTGTGGAGCCAATGTCAACTACGCCGTCCCTTTCACGGGGAACACGGCCCTGAAGCTGGCGGTGTGCGCCGCGTCCAGCAAAGCGGGCCGAGTGCTGGCGGCAGGACTGAGCTGCATCCGGCTGCTGCTGATCCACGGAGCCCAAGTCAATGTCCAGGACCACAAGGGCCAAACAGCCATCCACGAGGCATGTTTTGCCGGCAGAGAGACAGTCATCGATCTCTTGCTTGAATTTGAAGCCAACATTAACATCCTCACAAAAAACGGGGAATCTCCCATACACATGTACCTCCAGCGCAGCTCCAACATAAGGGACACGGCGCTGCTTGCCAAGCTGCTTTACCGCTCGTACCCCTTGAGACTGACCAATAACCAAGGAATTCTGCCTGCAGGACTCATGCTATCAGAGTTTCAACTCTTAAGGGAATCCCTAATCAAGTTGTCGCAAAAACCCTTCTCCCTAGAGGATATCTGTAAGAGAAACATCAGGAACATGTATGGGGAGAGATACAAACAGCATGTGAAGCGCCTCCTCCCGGAGAAGATCTGGAATTCTGTCTACGGGTATTATGACCTGGCTTGCCTCTTGAAATAAGACCTCGCAGTGTCACGGTGCCACAGGATTTCAGAACTCCTATCGCGGTTTCTGGCTAGACTGGTACCCAGAAAACAATCCATTTGCCTCATTCATCCCAAATGTACAAACTACTGGTTCTTAAACTTCTTCAAAAAATAAAATGATTTGCATATTACCTTTTTGTTTCTAGATATTCTTTTAAATGCATTTTTCATGTTTTAAATTTTGCCTAAAAGGTAAGCAACTTAATTTAAAACTCTCAGCCAAAGAAGTAAATATATGTTCTCTCTTTCTTGATAGTGTTTTGTGGATAAATGTTGGAATAGTAACTATAGATTTTGAAAACAGCAGAATGAAATTTTCTATGTTAAATTTCCTTTAAGATAGATAATTATAAAAACAGACTTTACCTCTAAGATTGAATTAATAGATGAATATTTTTGTCAGCATTAAATACACTTAGCATCATCAATTATAGCAGTATACAGAACACACTTACTACCGGAAAAACAGTGAGAATATTCAAATGCCCGAAGTTTACTGCTTTTAAATTCAATCAAGTTTTTATGTTCTGGACCTAAAAAAATGATGATTTAAATGAAAGTAATGGCACCCTTCCAGATAAATGAACTAGGGTACCTAGTCCCTTTCATTCAATGAATCAACACAAGTCAGCCCCGATAAGAAGTTTTCAATGATTTCATCTTTGCCACTTACCTTCAGGTCTCTGTGCACAACCCCCATGCTATGGATGTAAAATACACCTTCCACCAATTCTTGAAAAATTTTTGTTGCAACACTGGCCATAACGTAAGGACCTGAAGTTAAAAAAAAAAAAAAAGTTTTCTTTCTCTAATTTTTTTTTACTCATTAATATCTAAATGTTAGTTATCTAAATACATTAACATCTGACACCTACACAACATTCAGATTTTCAACAAAGTCAACACTCCAAAAATGGTTCAAACCCAGAGGGCTCCTCAGCTAGTAAAGCTGCGATCGAACACTAGCGCCCACCTTCAACGGAGTCTGTCACCAGAAAGGGACCTCCCATTTCACTCAGAGCCCCCGTGGCAATTAGTAAGCAATTCCCAGGCACCAGGTGGCCAGACTAATTCACGTTTAAGTCCCCTTCGACCCCTGCCATCCTGGGTTTCATGCTAATAAGTCTAGTGTCCTGGCCCACTGTGGACTGGAGATCCTAGTACAAATAATAGAGTAAGAAGGTAAGTGATGTTCACCCCAAGGGGTGAGCTGCTTCATCCGGAATTAGAATGCACCTTTTCAAAAATGGCCGACAAATGAAGCATATGGGAAAAAATAAATGACTGAATAATTCATCTGTTAATATGATGACAGAGCATATGAATTTAGAGGGTGGAGAGGTTTGTAAGACTAAAATTTAAAAAAAATTGATTAAAAAAACATCCTGAAGTTTCCAGCCAAGGAAGTTTAGTAATATAGTGGGAACTTACTAGCTCTTCTGTATTCAAGTCATTTTAAATCCTCAACCTATTGTTGACCTTCAAGAACAAGAACACTGTAGGCCCCTTTCTCCACCCCGAATGAGCCCACTTTGTCATCAACAGCTCACACCTACTCCACACCCTCGTTTATACTACCTAGCATACAATTTAGGGACCTGTGTGTGTGTGTGGGTATGTGTACACACATGTGTGTGTAAAAGCAATGGTTCCACTAAACAGGAGTGAGGAAACTTTTTTCTGCCAAGGACCATGTGGATATTTTAACATCATTCAAGGGCCATACAAAATTATCAACTTAAAAATTCGCCTGCTAGCCCGGCCAGTGTGGCTCAATGGTTGTGCACTGACCCATGCACCAATAGGTAACGGGTTCAATTCCAGGTCAGGGCACATGCCTGGGGTTGTGGGCTTGATCCCCAGCAAGGGGCGTGCAAGAAACAGCCAATCAATGATACTCTCTCATCACTGATGTTTCTCTCTCTCTCCATTCTCCCTTCCTCTCTGAAATCAATAAAAATATGTTTTTTTAAATATATATATTAACATGACTCCCTGGCTGGTGTGGCACAGTTGGCTGGAGTGTCATCCCATACACCAAACGGTCGAGGGTTTGATTGCTGGTCAGGGCATATATCCTGGTTGCAGGTTCAATTCCCAGTCGGGGTATATATAGGAAGCAACCAATTGATGCTTCTCTCCCACATCCATCTCCCTTCTCTCCCTCTCCCTTCCTCTCTCTAAAATCAATAAAAACATATCCTTGGGTGAGGATATATACATATACATATGTGTGTGTGTGTATATATATATATACACACACACACACACACACACACACACACGACACACACACACACATATAT